GGCTCCACCCCCTAATTATCATATTATAGTATATTATAATGTACATGGATAGATAAAACATTTAAGACCAGATGATACTAACAGTGCTTTATTTTCCTTTTGTGTGATTTCATGCTATCATTTTCTAGTTTTAAGCCTTTACATGTCGCACTCAGTGTTTCTCCTCACATCCCGCTGATTTATGACCTTAGCCTCCTGTGTAATATCAGCACTCCCCCTGTAATCCATTCATCCCCCCCCCCGAAAGCCAACATTTATAACACATGTCCAACGTCCACATTGTTTAAGGTAATATAAGCTCAGGCAAATGGGGTCCCGTGTTGGAACAATATCCCAGAGTGGACACAGAGGATCAGCCTCATCTCATATCTGGTGCACACTCACAATGTGTTGCAAGTAATTGTTCCATCACAGCCATGATGAACCTAAAAGAGACAAAGGGAGAAGTGTAGAAGGGGAATCTCCTCTCCGCAAATGGTGCTTTTAAAGCAGTAAGAGCCGTATAATGCTACTTTGAAGCCCCAGCAAAGTGGTGTTGTAAGGCTAAGGGAGGAAAAGAGGATAGCACCTTCTGATGTGTTAACCCTTGCTTTCCTGGACTGGGATTTTAACAGCGGTGAGAGAGGAAGCTAATGATTGCGTTTTTCAGCTTGGCTCTTTTAAGATCAGTCCATCCCAGTGGAATTAAGTGCAGTGAAGGCTTATAACAGTGCCCATCACAAAGGATCTACAGACAGATTGTGATTCATGTTTTGTGATTTTCAGGTAAGAGAGAGACTACGAGTGTCACTGGAGAGGGTGTCTGCCTTGGAGGAGGAGCTCACAGCAGCCAATCAGGAGGTAATAACCACCACACTCACCAGTAACTACATTAACTGCTTGCTAATGCAGATGTCTTATAAGCAACCAAATGCTTTAAGGCATATGAAAGAAATGTGATGAAAGTGACTTTGAATGTGGCAGATGGGCCAACCTGAGTATTTCAACTGCAGATCTACAAGAATTTTCACACACAACAGTCTCAAGGGTTTACCTCTCTGGGCAGAAATGCTAGAGGAGAATGGCTAGACTAAAAAGTCGGAACCTTATGTTGAAATTTAAAGCAAAAGACCACAGGGGTTCCAATGCAATGCTAACAAGCTGTGACTAATGGCCACGGTGTAGAATAATGAATATTGTGATATTTTTAAACACACTTTTTGTTGTTTGTGTTGTCAGACAATGCATCATCAGTGATTATGGATTAAAACAAGAATGAATGGGCTGAAATTCCTGGAACCCCAGACTATGGTTTGTTGGTTGTTTTCATACCAATGCATAGTGTCTGACTTGAGATAGATTAATAGCTTTCTTCATCAAAGGAACACTTAGTAGCATATAGACGAATGGGACAAAGAAAAATTATATTCTTTAACAAGGAATTAAAGACTTTGACTATTTTATTAATCCTTTGCATAAAAGGCATCAGGAAAAGCAAGCATTTCTAATTTGGAAAACAAATACTATTGTTTCATTTAAGTCATTCCCATCAGACAAATGCATGTCTTTTAAGCTTTTTAAGGATTCTGCAAACATGCTCAGTAAACATAATTTTGAACATGCAGAGTTAATGTGATGAACAAGCATTTTTATTTATTCCAATTGCAATGTTTTTTACTCAACCCATCCAATCTTTAAGCATCTAAACCTAAAAAACGACTTAATGTCAAAGTAAAAACCGAGTAAAAACTAACTTCAAAGCACAAAGTTTCCACATGGGAAACTTTGGTCTATAAAATTGTGACTTACTTAATTTTATAGCACTTAAATTTATCTGCATCTTAAAAATCACTGCTGGTGTATGAAGGCACAGACGCTGACAAGCAATCTGTCCGATGCCAACAGTGAAGAGAAATATTTCACACTTTGAGATGGGAATGTGCTGAAATAACAGAAAATATATGCTGTTCATGTATTAAACATGTAGATACTATTTATATATACATGCAGTATCTCAAGACTTGTGTTGAGTTGCATATTCCGAACAAACATAACATATATACAGGAACATATACTACTTGTTTACGTGGATGCAAACCTAATACATACTGTGATGTGTCCTGAATTTTGTATCTGCTCTGAAACCCAGAAACATTTACGGTACCTCGACAGGCTTCACTCTACCTCATCTTATGCTTATCAGTGGCTGCGGCGAAGCACTGACAGTACATCGGCCACTGTTTCCTTGGTGGCCTTTCCATCTTCACCTCCTAGTTCGGGCTAGAGTAGGATTTGCACTGCAGATGGTCCTGTTCCAGCTGAGGAAAAACCCTCGGGCTGCCACTTCACAGCCTGTCAGACATGCCAGCCTGACACTCGGGCCTGGCGTAAAAGTCACTAAAAGGAGGAGAAGAAGAAAAAGATGGGAATGAAAAGCAATAGGGGGAATGGTTGGGAGGCGTGTGGCGTGGGTGGAAGGACAGACGGAAATCTAGTGTGAGAGGAGAGAGAGGGGGTAAGGATGGGGGAAAAAAAAGAGGCATAGAGAGGCAGAAGACACAAATAGACATGGCAGGTGGGATGCAGAGGCAGATCGTGTGTGGAGGTATGTGTATTAATGAGAGTGCAGGGCTCCACTTGGTCGGAGCACCTCTGAAAGAAACCGAAGGACAGAAAAAGTGAAGCTGTAATGATATGTTTTGATGGCGAGTAAAGTCGCTAGGGGTCAAAACCCAAGATTTGATAGTGTGCGATCTACCAGACAAGGAGAGAATTGTAGAAAAGATTGAAAACTTAAAAAAGTAAACCTAAAGGCCAGCGGTACCTAAATTCTTCTCTTTTTCTCTTTGACAGTTTTTCCTGAAGTCTTGTTTTTTAACTGCAGAAACTCTGACAGACATCTCAGCAGCACCTTGAAATATTTCTCACATCACACTTCCAAGCTTATAAAGACCATACAGTATTTCTGTGTGGCTGTCCCTCTCTAATGGTTAACACAACACTTGTCAGAGCTGCGGACAGATGAGTGATTAGACCTTGAGGTGATGGAGGGTGGAGGTGGTGGTGGAGAGGATGGTTAAACCGGCTTTGCCGAATAAAAATGTCCACGCTTAAGAGGCTCCAGGGAGGCAGCCGGATCCGTGAGCCCGCAAACTGGTAATTGATTTGAGATGGAGGTCTATTATGAGTCCCATTTCCCTCCAGGAATTTAGACAATGTGTCCATGCTTGAAGAAATCAGCAGCCTTTAACCTCATGCAGTCACAGGTGTTTAAGTGGCCCCACACTGATTGCTGCTAGTGATTGCAGTTCTATCTGTGGAGCATTTTGGTATCTATCTGAGGATGAATTGTTGCTTACCAATTATTTGATGTTAATCAAAACAGACATATTTTTAAGACACTGTTAAATTCCCAAAGGTAGCTCAATAGCTCATTTGAATCTATCACAACCATACAAGATCAAGGCAGATAAAATAATATGTATCAAATATTATTTTATGCAGTCATACCAGATTCTTAGCAACTCAACCCTAGTTACACGTGGTGATTGACCATTTGTAACTTTCAGAGGCTTAAAATGAAATTGACTAATGAGCTATTTTATGGTCATGTGAAGTCTGTTCCTTCATTATTGTTGAAGGAACAGGGAACATTATTTGGCAAA